TCTGAGGATATGCTCTAAAGCAGCTTTCTCAAGAATGAAGCTGTATAAGGACCGGTGCTGCGAGGCAGACAGCGACTGATGGTGGGCGTTGAGGAGCAGAAGTCGGGGTCTCGGCCGGCACTGAAAGCGCTGGAGACCCCGGACGCCACAAGGCCCAGGTTGGGCCCGCTTCCAGCCTCTTACATGAACTTCAGGCGGCACCGTCATTTCTACATAGCTTCTCTGGCTCTCATACTCTTGCCATCTTGCATGCTATGTACATGAGGTTCGACGTGTCTTTGCGGTGCGTTTCATTGCACACATCCGAGCGTCCTCATGCTCAATGTATATTTATACTGGCTCGTCTGGATACTGGCTCTTTCTCAGACAACCAGCGTGGCTCATCCGATCTCGAATCCTCCCTCAGTGTTGTATCTGGATCACGTAACTGTTATCTACCGCGATCTCGCTCTGGATACCTACCAAAGAGTACAGCCCGACATACCAAATCCGGTTCCCTGGTAAATCACCATGCCGCTTGTAAATTCTTTGAGGAGGACATGCATCTAACGTACATGCTCGTTGACACAAACAAGGGCACATGCGAGACATTTACGCGGAGAATTGCCGTAGGTGCAAGCAGCCAAGCCACGCGTCTGCAAAGTAAAGTGCTGACCAAATGCGCAGGCTTCAAGGCGGCCGTCGGCGATCTCAACTCCGCGGCGACGCGCCCGCGAGTGTCGCGCTCGTTCTTGTGTCGTCCGCGGCTCTTTGAGCTCGGGGACCACGTCTGGGCGCAGACGTACTAGTGCATCACGGCGCTCTGCGACGACCCCCTCGCACGGTAGGACGCGGTGTGCCTACCATTTCCCCGCGGTGAGGGCGGCGCGGGCTCCAGCGACCTTTTGAGGCATTAACCAGGTGGAGCTAGGCGCTATGGGACGCGCTATGTGACGCGCTAGGCAAGGTGTGTTGCACATTTTGCTGGTGCGGATTGCGCTGTCTCGGACTGACGCCCTCGGTCGAAGCGCTACGGGGCAGAGAGATTTAACGGCGGCAGGGCGACACGTGAGCTCGAAGTACGATCTGCGACTCTCTGCGCATTTGCGGTGAACCAACCGCACCTGACGCAGATGCAAGAGTAGCGAGCGAAGGGAAGACGAGCGAAGGGAAGACAGGCGGAGGACAGGCTATACGGTGAGTGACCTGCCGCTGTCAACTGCTCTTTTGTGTGATATATGCAAGACTAAATCGGCCATCGAGCGGCCATCGGGCTGTGTCAGAGCCTGTATTTCTGACTGGATGCGCAGGCGGAAGAGCTCAAGTATGAGCATATTCTCTACGATAAGTCTTTGACTATACCGGTGTGTATACGCGCAGAGGACTTTCGAACTATGTTTATCCCTTCGACACCAGCCGGGCTCCTTGCAGCCGAGCGGCTATGCCATGCATGCATGCATGCACCGTATGTCCACAGATTTCTTTGTTCCTCACGCAGCTCACGCAGCTCTGCTCCATGCAACGCTTCAACCTGATGGTGGCCCACCTGTCGTACGACCCGCGCCCGGAACAGATGCTGACGATCGAGCCGCACAACTTGTCCGTCCATTCCATTACTCGCACTAACAAGAAGGGCATCATCCCGATGTTTAATACGTCATCTAACCTGCGGCGGCGGGACGATGGATCAAACGAGGCGGACAGGTGGCCGATAACGATGAATGCCGCCGATTTGAACCCGCTGTATATACTCTAAGGCTTGAGCACTGGCATATTGGAAGGATTCGCACAGAAGATCGCTTCTGCCGCCGCCGACCAAGGTGCGTCGGCACATCAAATGGTCCATTTATGACTCATTCAATGTTCTCCTAAGCTTCACCACTTCGTTTGATATGCTCTAATCTGCAGCGGGGCATGCGCCCGCAGATGGTCCTGCAGTCGTTGTCACCGCCTCGTACGAAGGCCAGCCCGCCGATAATGCGGCGCACTGCGTCGAACAACTCTCCAACTTGATAGGCGAGCAGCTTTCGGAGGTATTCCAGGCCGTCTCTCGCTACGGCAGCCGCAACTGTATTCTACCGTATCAGCGTATTCGATGTTGCGCGATGCCTTTCTCGCCGAGCGCGGTGGCGACGTCGGTTTCGTATACTTCAAAGCGTTTGGGTGGGAGATGGTGCTACGGGGAGCGCTTTGTAAGGTCCGTGTCTCCTTGCTATGTGCCATAATGGCTTACTGTTGATCTCTCTGTCTGTAGCTGTACGAAATGATCAAGTCTGACGGAACGGGACCTCGGGACGGTGACAGTGCTCGATTGCAGAGATCTCATGTCACCAGTTGCACCGGCAGGCAACGTATAGGCACGTGGCGGACTCCCTTTCTCGCAAAGTGTGACACTGATGACACGTATTTCAGGGCTTAACCCTCCGGAGGGCGTGACATGCGAGACAACGATTATTTCGCCATGTGAGATCCCGATCTTGTCTCTACTCCGCGACTTGACTCACTGCCACGCTCTCTCCAGTTTATCTGTCGATACTACAGGGGGGGTTCACTGCGCGCGCTCGCTTTGACCTCCTAACTGAACAAGAGGCGCGCATACGATGGCACACCCTTGAGACGAAAACTGGCGCGTGAAAAGGTCAGTGTTTGTTCCGTTGATCCTACTACTCTTCTCTCTGACTGCCTGTGAATGTCTCGACGCTGCTCAGCGGTTACATGGGACTGTCCCGGCCGACGACCGTCCAGGACCGGCGTATCTTGGCATATCGTCACTTGGGGCCCCAAAGGAAAGACACTG